AGGTCCGGGGTACTCCTCCCAGGCCAGGGACCGGCGAAGGAGCCCCTCGCAGCAAAACACCCGTCCCAGCAGCAGTTCCACGTGTCCCGATGTGCCAGGGCCTCCTCCCCAGGAGGAATTCCCCATCTAGGGTTTCTCCCACCCACCTCTCCAGTAAGCACTGGGGCTCTGAGTGAACGCCGGCGCTCTGCCCCATCTCCTGTTTTTTCAGGGGATGCGAGAGAGGGGTGGCAGTGCCCAAGATGGGGGCATGAAGCTGTGGCACGGCCCCTCTAGGAGCAGAACACCCCAAAACTCATTCAAGGGGGGAACCAGAGCGGGGCAGCCATCCCCTTTCCTATCCCCAGCCTCTCTCTGTGATCCCAGGCCAGGCGGCTCCTTACCACAGTGCCAAAAAAGACATCGCTTTCCCGCTGCAAGCCCAAAAATCCCCAGGAAAGCATCAGTGCCCAAGGCTGACCCCACTCTGCTGGAGCCCAGCGCGGGTGAGATGAAACCCGCTGGCCAAGTGACCTTCAGTTCCAGCTCCCCAACATCCCCAAATCAAGTTTTTTGGGACCCCACCTGCCCCTCAGCCCGACTTCACGGCTCACGGCTGCCTCTGTGCTGCTGGGATTGATCCTTTATCTTAACAGCTGGTAGCGGAGGTGGAAATGCTGGGGTTTTCCCCCCACCCTGAACAGCCGGTGCCCTCGGGGAGCCGGGCGCCTGTCCCTGCTCCCGCTGCCTGTTTGCACAAGGGCTGCCGGGTCCGGCAGGACAGGCGAAGGACGATGATGAAGCGCTGCCCCCAGCCTGGGCGAGCTGTTCGTTAACCTGACCTGTCTGACCCTGTTGGCGTTGATGCCGTCCCATCGAGCCACTTCTCCCCAGCCTCCCCATCTGTTTCCATGCCTTTGTCGCCCAGCGTGGCACTATTTTCCTGTGACTCAGCCCTAGTTCCTCATTAACAGGGTTACACATTTATTTCTCATGCTGGTGCCCCCGAGGCCGTGGCGGGGGCGGGG